GGAGATTCTCTCCATCCTTCCCCTCCAAGACCTTAACGCTCACCATGAGCGGCTTAGGGCGGGGGAAGTCATCTGTTACTGGCGGTGGCGTCATAGACGCAAATGAAGTAGACATCCTCTGCTGTAGGTGCTCTAGCAGCGCGTTTTCGTAATTTGAAAACGCCATTAAACGCGCACCGATTGCCTCGGGGCCTTGCGCAGCAAGGTGTTGCACGCCCTCAGCGCCAAGCAAGGACAGCAGCTTTTTAAGCTCGTCCTGCATGCCCTGGGGCAAAGAGGAAAATTCTCCCATCCTCATAGAGGATCTGTCTAAACTAAACTCAAGTGTAGATTAACTACAAGTGCTAGCAAGTGCAGCGGGCTGCCGTAGCGTTGCGCATAGAGAAAGCGTAATTTAGGTCACCGACCTTTCGTTCTATACTTAGAACAAGTACGAATTAGCAGATCGCAATTCGCTTACTCTAAGAGTAATTTTTCATAATCCAAGGCTTATTACTCTTCCGTTTAAAATCCAAAACTGACATTATTTATTTTTATCTGCAACAAAGCCACCTAATTTTAAATGTATAGATCTTCCAAAATATATAAAGTAAAATCTAAATACATGCATAACTACTGGCTTCCTATCCACATCCCGTATTCTTGTTTGGGTGCAGTCACACCATGCCCAACTCGTGTGACCCCCCGCTGAAACCAGGGTACGTGTAAGTTTGTTACACAATACGTACGGTGTATAAGTCGAATTTAGCTTGTCATGCATTTCTGAAAGCTTTGAGACACAAGGTGTTCTGAAACCTGGACACAGCTTATTCGGAGCTTTTTAAAAAATTGTTACCGTTATTTCTTATTTTAAGGCTAGGTGTATTGAAGCACTAAACCACTTGACACCATACGTGTTGTGGTACCTCATCAAGAGGGTCTTTGACACAAAATACTGTATAGTCACACTTAAACCCTTGAATGAACAACTCGAAAGAGAAATAATATGGTCTGACAAGCGCTATGTACGCGTGGATCAACATGTAAAGCGGATAAGCACTTTAGTGCGGCGTGCGTGCAAAACATGCCAAGTCAAACTTATTCTGCATGCATCAGCACCGCTATTAAGTCCGTCGGCTTCCGCAGTATTAGTTGCCTTTAAATGTGGGCTTGATTTTGGTCCTCCAACAGAGCTTCCGATCATACCAGCATTATGGTCTTTGGATTGTTTAAGCAAAATTGCTTGTCTTGCTAGCCAACATACCATTGAAAAAAATGATAGAGATCCGCGCTTTGCAGCGATGTTTTGGCGAACGTTGTTTCGGATGCCAAGATCCTAATTAAATGTGTCCATCACCGACCATATCTACGTAATTGGTCAAAAATGCGACAACCAGGTGGCAAACAATAACATCTGAAGAATCTCGCGTGTGAAGTGACCGCGGTGCTAGCGCTCAGTACTCTCCCTCATCGAGCTTGAAAAGCATACAGCCGTTCATATCTCTTCTGGTCTGACAATGCTTTCAGCAGATAGTTTTATTAACCCCCGTTACTTTGACACCGTCAGGAATTTTCTCCGCTCTTTAAGTGAGTGAGTCAACCAGCTGATATCAGTCCGGCTATACTCCGCAGCAAGATTAACGTTTTTCTTACATGATGGGGGTGTCATGCACCGAGTGTGCGTCACTATGGCTGAGATACAGAACTTTTAAAAATAACATGCAGATGCCTGAGGTAGATGGAACACATTGTAGATGATTAGCCTCTGTTGAATGCGGTTTGACATATTTGCACATGCAGTGTTTACGGTCTGTAAGACAAAGAAGCGAATTCACTACGTAGGACCATTCTTGGAAATAAGAAGAGATTGAGTACACGCTCAATATTACAAGGGAGATTGCATCACATTCTGGGCTCCACGTTGGCTTGCTAGCGGCATACCACCACCCCTCTTTAACGCGCCAGTTGAGTTGTATATAGTACTACTTTATAGTATCTACTATATATAGCGATGATTCGGATGTTAGCGCTGTCAAGAGTAACTTCAAATTTTTTATCTAATAACACTTTAAAATCAATTGAAGAATCTCGTAATAACCCCTAAACCATCTTCATTAGCTAATTTTCCCGCATATAGGGCAGCGATACGGTTTTGAGCCGCTCCCAAAGATGGCGTAGCCTAGAAAGCGTGTAAGAACGAAGCTCAAAGTAGGAGTGACCAGACGCCGAGAATCTCGAAAATAATCGACGTATCGCCATTATCGAGCGTGTCACGAGAGCTAGCCGCGGGAGGGTTGTCCTCCGCACGCACTGCTCTAATATCAAGGGACTATCTTCTTTGTGTGACACAAATGTTGGGCCGTCTGGTCATCCAGTTTGCGTCCAGTATTTGATGGATAAGGGCTCCGAAAACTCATGGATTTGATGTAACGGGGTTACACGTACCCTTGTATGAAAGGGCGAGTTGCATCGGATTGTTCGACCGTACATAGGTGTGTATTACACAAGTTAGTGTAATCACACAGTGGTGTGGCTTCGCCGGACAATAAGCCAACACGTGCGCAGGACTCACATAAGTAATGCATATTACTATATTAATCAGGTTTTCCTGTATTAATTAGGTATTACTATATTAACTAGGAAAACCTAGGGTTGAGATATTGGCGGTTCTGTTGCATCTAAAACAAATAGCTACAGTTTTAATTTTGAACAAAAGTATTAGTTTGCCTTGGTAAGGTAAATTTAAGGTAGTGGATCGCGATCCGCTACACTCGTACTGGTTCTTGGAAAGAACGTTAGGTCGGTGACCTTAGCTTAGCTTCCTCTAAGCAAAGAGCTACGGCAGCCTCGCTGTTTTTGATGTACCGCTTCAGCAAATTTGTCCTGACGCTATTGACACCCATAAAGTTATTTTCATTTCACCCCCCAAAAAGAAACCTTTGCTTAGTGCAACGCACTTCCCACTAACATGAAGGGCACAGACTTGATCAAAGTGTGATACTTCACCGGTATCTGAGCCGGTAAGCTTGTGGGGTTTAGTAGGACTACTTGCAGCAAGAACCTGAGGTGGTTGAACGTGTTTCTTGGCATTTTGCTGCGTTTGACTTTCGCAACCCAGATGCGAAAGAGCTCACCAGTCAGAAGTCTGCTTCGCTGAAGCTAACCTGCAGATTTGCTAGCCGAGCGACGCGGTGCATTTAAGCTGGTGCGCAAATCGAGTGCGATACTCTTCTGGATTGTCAAGAGCTTTCAGTTTCGAAGATAGCTCTCTTGTAGAAGTTATGCAACAGGGTTGCCGTACTATTTGTATATTCTTTCGAACTTAGGGTCTACGTTTCTAAACACTAAATGGTCGAATCTTAGTACTACAACCAGGCGCGAAGTCGAGATTCTCTACTGTAACTATATCAAGAGTACATAAATCAAGAAATTATGCTACTAAGAGAGATGCTAATTATACACTTCTTTCATTTCTTGATTGTAGAAGATTTTGGCGTGTACACCAAAGTGGGATGTGAGTTCTGTACAACCTTCTGTACAACTGTAAGGTATTGTTCGTATACTATTGTGCTACATGCTTCAGAAATTAGTACGCAAGATTACAGTGCGTACCACGTTACAGAAAGGATGTATCCGATCACTGCCGATCCAAGCGCGGACGATAATCGTGGGAGTGGGTCAGAAAGTGGCTGTAGGGCGCCTTTTGAGCGCTCGTTTTAATCTTTGTTTGAGCAGAGGACCTACAAGCACATCCCACACCCGTGCGACGAGCAAATTGTGGTAAGTCCCTATTAATAGACTCGGGTCAAAATCTGGCTGCGACTCTTGCGCTTACTGACGAGCAAACTCATACGCTGAGCCAGGTCCAGCTCATTGATACCGAGCTGGATGTTGTCGTGAGTCCCGCGGCG